TTAAAATTTATTTGATTAGAAAGTATTGGGGAAATGTTTGGATCAAAGTTTGATAAATAACACGCAATCTATGAGTTAATGAAAAATAAATTTGAATAGAGATTGTTATGAGATCTGAAATAAAAGTTTATTAGAAGTTTAATAAATGTTACAAATATGACATTTTACTAAAACAACAAATATTTGACACAAAAACAAAGAAAGTGAATAATAAAGTAAAGTATAGATTGGAGAGAAGTATCGATTGTTGATTTAAGCTCTGATCCAAATTATAGCCTTTAAATATGATTAATGAGATTCAATGAATTTGACAATATTTTGCCGCTTTTGCTTCTGCTGTTTGTTTTAATAGCAATTGGGTTGATAATAGTGGCCAACATGGAGTACGCGGAGAACATGTAGGCTTACTGTCCAATTGATTGATTGTTTTCGCACACCTTTTTTTCTCACATCTCATACATGAGTACTGAAACTCTTTCCTCATTTGAAGTGAAGATGAAATCGAGAAAATACTCCAAAATATTATTTGAGCCCTTATTGTGCTCTAAGTTTTTTGATTAAAGATAAATGCGTTTGAAGGGAGTGTCTAGACTGGGGGCACAGAGGGGGCACTGAGGGGGCACTGCGGGGCACATCATATATTGAGCTCTCATAAGTCGGGCTTCAAAAAGATTTGCCGACTTTGGTATGCCTTACGGGAACTGGAGTTAAGAAAACATGTGAGACTCCCAACAGCTAAAGAATGCCAATTTTGACACCTTTTATATTGCAATACAAGAGACTGCTTGGCGTTGTTTCACCACCAGGTGCTCACAAACTATTCCATATATCGGCCCCCAAATTCTGATTGAGGTGAACGTTTGCGTGTCGGTTAATTGATAGCTAACTGTTATTGAATATACAAAACACGCAAAGAATTGTTTGTTAGCGAATTTGTCAAACTTTCTGTTTGGCTTTGATTTAAGAAGTCAAGTTTCACACCAAACGAAAGACAAGTGAAGAAATAAATTAAGAGTCAAATAAAGGCAGTTATGGCTCATGGGATGCATGGGATGCACAGGTGAGAGAAGAGGAGCACTTTTTAATTGATATTTTGCTATTTTTTTCGCGTGAGTTCATTGGACTTAATTTGTTCTGTAGGTGTGTTTACTTAGAGCTCAGTTTCGCCACACTTTTGTTTGTATGAGAAGAAGTTTTTCATGCAATCAATGCTCGCTTTCATTGCTTTCATTACATCACAATATATTGGATTTTGTCGATTCAATTCACTGCTTCTCACATTTGGCGTACAAATGTTGAGACAAAGTCTAAACATTATTATTATTCTTATTATTATTTGAATTATTTGTGATTCGCTTTCATAACAGAGAATCCGTTCACAGCTACTACTCGTCAGTACTGTAATCGTAATATTGTTTTGTGAGACAATTGTTTGGCAAAAGGCGTGAAAAATTAATTGAGATCTCACTAATCATTTTGTTAGACTCTCTCCATTCTCTCCTATACTACATATTGTACTCTCTGTACTCTCTGTACTCTCTGTACTCTCTGTACTCTCTGTACTCTCTGTACTCTCTGTACTCTCTGTACTCTCTGTACTCTCTGTACTCTGTGTACACCCCATGCAGTCATACCTAAAATAAGGATCGGTTGTATTGATTGAGTTTTTGTGGAAAAGGCAAAGACTGATCCGAAATGGAAGCGATCGGCAAACTGTGCGCCCAATTAATTCTCAGCTCAAGAGATGCTCAGATGTTCACCAAAATAGCTTTCGAGTCATTTGTTAGGATTGTTGTGAACAAGTGAAGGACAGGTATGCCAGAGCAGGCACTCAGTCTGCGTGCCGCCACTGCACCGATCTATTGGAACCGCCTTTTGATTGAACCACTGGTGGTCATCCGAGTCAGTAGTAAATCAAATGCAATGTCGGCTCATAAGAGATGTGGTCGGCGTTTGGCACTAATCTACAAAAACCTGAACTTTAATTCAATTCAATACAAATTGAATATAAGAGCGAATTTGAAATTATATTTTTATGTTAATATATTTGAGCCATAATTTTATGATAATTGAGTATCAAATGATTGCCATAGACTGGCACTCATGCCATCCATGCCATCGATGCCAGTGATGGCAACGACGTACTCATCCCTTCAAGTCCTGACGTCGGCTTTACTTCACTTTACACCTCATAATTGCTAATTCAATAAAGATGTTCACAACTCATGTCTCGCATATGTTTCCTAACTTTGATTGGCATTCATCTCAACCCAGAGATTGTCTCAGTGTTTGAGAAGTCATGTCAAGAATGCCATTCCTGGCCTTCATATCATTTGAATCACTCATATGATGTGATCAGTGGAGCACTGAGACCAGTGATGGCACAGGTATGGTATGGTGGTATTGGTATAGTGTAATACAGTCTACATGTGAGTGCATGTATGCAATGTTAAGTCTAACTGTTTGATCACATTTTGATAGCAGTGGTGTCGACAGGCGAGCAATGGTTCACTTGAATACTATTATCGGAGTTGTTGTCTGTGGGCGTAGTGTTCACACCATTCACACCACGAACAGCAAAGTCGGCATCTTTTATGTGCGCCGATAACAGAGCAAAACACGCCAAATATGCATCTCTTGGCCCCGGGCTCATCACGGACTACATCCCTGTGCACACACATACACACATAGGCAGGCTTGGGAGGTGTGCCCCACCATATCTGTATTACCTAAAAATCTATTCAAACCAAGTATTTGATATCTGTTGGCAAAGATATACTTTTCCTAACATTTGTTGACTACTGTAGCCATACGTGACGGTCACCACCAGAATAGTACCGAAAGCCCACAGAATATGAATAGATTTGCAGTGTTTTGCTGTTCGGACGCGAACTCAATTAGAAAGAAGAGCTCTTACGGCAAATAGTGCTCAAAACGAGCCAATAATACATATAATTTTAATAATACATACAAAAGTACCACAGTATGAGAGCCCCAAGCACAAAAACACTCAATGCATCACAAATAGACGGCGTCTTAAATATAGTAATATTAATACAAACAAGACTTAAGCAAAATATTAGACAAAATGAATTAAAGAAAACGCAAACGAATATAACTATAATATATGCGATTGGAGTACATTATACAGACTCCGCAGTCCGGACCACATCATGAATGCAAATGCAGTGCATCTCTACTCCACTATAGACTCCCATATCGACTCTCAGTACTCAATGTTTGACTTTAAGTGCTAACCATTGAGCCTATTATTCAGTAATCTTAATATTCTATTCAATATACAGTATCTACTATTATAATATGAATTTAAATTAAACATAGAGAGAGAGAGAGAGAAAGAGAGAGAGAGAGAGACTATAAAGTTAGTATAAGTTAGTATAAAGTTAGTATTAAGTTAGCATAAGGTCTGTACCTCTAAATGGCATAATAATCATTAGGAGATGAGAGCGCACTCTAATCATATCAGCGCCTGAGGTGTCAATAATGCAGAAATTGTTTGAATCAAAACCATCTCTCGTTTCACATACAAAGGGATGAATCTGTTTGAAAGCTGTGTTCAAATTACAGACTTTTGTAGGCCTACTGAAAGGAAATGGTGTAAAACATGGCTAAACATAAGCTTATGGTGTAACTTATACTTCAATTTGTCTAATGCTTTGCGGAAATTCGTGATAAGTCTATCTCTGTATCATTGAGTCTAACCTTTTAATTACATCAAACATTGTTACGTTCCGGACATCCATTAAATAATAATAAGCTATGAGTTACACAACAGACCAAACATACAATGACTGAAATGTTTTGTATTCTTCTTTAAATATACAAAATTCAAAATATTCTTATATTTTCACCATTTAATGACATACTATGCCATCCCCTCTAACATGCAATACACTAATGTTCTGAACAACAGTCATATCCACCACTTATGTCATTAAAACTCACCACTTGTACCAAAGCACCCAATCCTACCACTAATAGATTATACATCTAAAGGTGACCACCAATTCAATCTCCAATGGTCACCAGAATCCAACTCAATTCTATTCATTATGGCATTATTGCCATTTTAACCAGGTACAATTACTGTACGGTACTTAAATAGACTAAATTTTAGTCACTGCAATACTGTATTACTTTATTGTACAGTATATTACTCTTACATTTGTATTATTGATAGTGTTTTATATAATTAAATGTTGTTGTCGTGGTTCATCTTCCAAGCTTATCGACTCAATTAATTATAAATAGATTATATAGTATTAGCAAAGAAATTACTGACAATTGTGAGTCAATTCTAGCTGTACAATGGTATAGTGTATAAATTGCTGTCTTAGTGTATGAATCTAATGTGTAAATTTAATTTAATTATTTCGAATAAATATAAGCTAGGTTAAACATACTTCTTACATATTAAGGATAACTCATACAAATAACTCTCTATTAATTCATTTTAAATATTTATTTAAAATATTGGAAATGTGAAAATTATTAAACACAACGGGTAGTAATGTTTGGTCTGGCCTTAATCATCATTTAATAACTGTTCCAATAATGTATACGCTTTCATTGATTGCCATTAATAGTAATCACTATTTTAATACCACAACAAAATAACAATGTACTACTGTATTGTAATATTTACTGTACAAAATAAATATTACTTGATAAAGTTAGACCCTACCATAAATTAACTTCAAATAACTTATTGTTAACTATTGTAGTCTACAATATGTGAAGCCATTATTAAAATAAATATAACTTTATTTATTTATTTGATAATGAATTATTACACATAAATAATTAGCGTAATTAAATGGATAATCAAAAAAATATATTTAACATACAATCAATTAATAAGTTTCGACAACTCGTTATTAATCATATGAATCAAAAATTCAAGACTAGCTTATGTGAGAAACTAAATAATGCATTGGTTTTCACATTGTTTGCATTAACGCAATCAACTAATAACTAAACTCATTTGCAAATTGTACATTAAATGTTCAAACCAATGCAATATTTAGTTTCATACATAAGCTAGTGTTTGACGTTTTGATTCATATAATGAGATTAGCCGTCAATTAACACAAATTGGTAGCCAATGGTCATAACAGCCATAGAGTGGTGGCCATCAGGTTCTGATGCCATAGGCGTCGGGCATGCGTTCGACAAAGAACTGTCTGTCTTTGATATACATGACAGGGATTCCGGGGATTCTTCGGATGCGGCGTTTGAGCGCCCGATCGGCAGTCGCTATGATATAACACTTGTGTTGAGTGACTCTATGGACGAGACAGTCGTCGGCATAAGTGCCGGAATGACTGCACGGAAGTCTCTCCATCTGCTCCTTCACTATACGTAACGCCAGCCTATACTTTGCGCCCAACTATTCATCACATATGGGATCAGTTACTCTCGTATTCACGACAATCATATCATATGATAATTACATACTTTCTGGAGTTCGGCGACAACACAATCGGTGACCAAAGGTATGCATTTAGAGAGCAAGCAATCAGTCATGGCTTGATTGATGTCCAGCTTGTTCTTGATGGAGAAGTTGATGAAATTGGTGTCACATATCACCCGAAATGGTGGACCCAATGACTGGTTGTAGTTGAAGAACATAGTGGTGGACGCCGTGGCCACCACTCGATCCTCCACTCGTGTCTTCTGTTTCTTCACTTTCTTCTTGTGTTTCTTGGAGTCATTCTTCTTGTTAGCGATCCTATGGTCTCTCAAAGACAACAGTTTCGGTGTCTTAGGCTTCAAATCTCTGGCCATTTGTGGTCTGATTGTGACTCAACGAGTCAATGAGTCGATCAAAAGTCACATGTTTTCCACCAAAAGCACAACATTTCTGTGCATTCAATGCTATGCCATCTGTTGACACATAAACACAATCACAAACTCATTATTCAATTGAATCAATAATTTCATGTCAATTATAATACACTTTCTATCACTTTATCAATACTGTACAATACTGTATAGTGTACAGTATTCATGTATTCAGGGTATGATATTATATTCACATCAAATTACTCATTCAAATTAAGTTATAGTTAACACCAAATGATTTCGAGTTAATTAAAGGAAGTTGCTTGCTATCAATTTATCAATAATATTCCCTACAATTTAATCATAAAGCAATTAGATTTTTGTTTGTAACAAAATCCAAATGATTTTTCTGATTGTTTGTTTTTAAGGTAGAATTTATGTGTAACATTAATTTATGATTTAGATTATTACAAATATCGATTATCATTGAGAAAATTGTTTACAATCTTTTACTCATACCCAGTACAATATACCAGTTAATCACCTACTATTATGTAATACAAAGTATATCTACTGTAGTAAGTTTATATTATATTCAGTACAATAGTACTGCAACAATACATTTTAGTCGTTAATTCATGTTAGAATTGAAATTATGGGTTTACGGTGACATACCTCCTATCGATCTTATATTATATATGTTATGATAAAATGGTAGAATCTGTACAATAGATAACTACAAGAACTTGAAGAATGTGTTGGAATAACCTCTCAATAGATTTAAGAATTGTATGTTTATAGATCCATGATAAATTATTTTAATGATTTACAAGTAGTTATAAATAAATAAATATTATTGAGAATTTTAATTAATGTGTATTTTGATTATTAATAATTTAAAATTAATTAAGTTTATTAATCTATATATTTGATTATATCTTTGTTATAATTTATTCAAATTAATTCTAATTGTTATAATTTTTGTATGATGATGATAATTTAAAGTTGACAAAATAGGTTTGAATTTCTTGATTTCACTCAAATACTCATCATGATAAAATTAGAATTTTATTCTATTATATAAGTTTAATATATTTTTGTTATTAATTTCTATTTGATAATGTTTAATATATAATTTGATAATGTTTATATTTTGTTTTAGAATTTTATTAACTAGCATAGTTACTGTGTTAATTTTTACAAAACTAAACCAAAAATAATTTTACTAATTTTACTAGTATTCATTTTACTAAACTAAATTATAAAACTAAGCAGTTTTATTGGGTGATTAATTTAATCTAACAAAATAATAAACATTATTAACAAAATTTAATATATCTATAGAACTGTAAATATTTTATTTATTATATTTAATATGGTATACTAGTGGTAATATTAGTGTACAGTACTGATCAGATAATATGTAACGACTTTGAATGTAATTTTTGAAAAACCTATTGGATTTAAAACATTGAAAACAACACCAAACTGTAGCTTATTTATTAGAGATTCATTCGATATGTTATTTAGCTGTGAAAAACAAATTACAAATAAAATTATCTCATTTTCAAACGGTGACTACGATTTTAAGTTTTCCAGACCGAAATTGATTCATTTTTAATTTAAAAATTAATTATAAACATATAATAATGAAAATATGTTATCAATGTTGATTATTAGTACTCATATAATATGATAAACAGGTTACACTTTGAAATTTATAGTTTAAATGATTAAAAATTAATATTAAAAGTTATGACAAAATCTGGTTTTTGTCTAAAATACAAACACATTATAACAATG